AGGCTGTCTTTAGTTTTTTGAGCAGGTATGCGAATAAGAGTAAGAAAGATTGATGTTTACGGATTGGTTGAGAACTTTTTGGATTAAAATAAAAGTCATGTTTATTCATTCGTGAATACTGAAACACATATACCCGTTGATAGAAAAATTTCTCTTAATAAAACAAAAACTACAGTTTCTTGAAATGTGTAGAGCGTTGCTTGATACTTGTGTATATAATTAAAGGTCTGTCTTTGATGGGGTCCCGCCCCGATCATTTCTATTTTCTAACTGTGCAAAACGGCAAACAAGCTTTCAGCAGTTTATAATTTTAATTGATAACCAATCTTCATAATTTTTCAGATGTTGAAAATAAAAACACTGATTGATACACCTGATTATGATAGCGATGATTCAATAGCTGATGGAACTTCGAAATCTATCAGCAGTGTTCCTAGTAACTTCCGAGCTTCAAGCAGCTCTCAAGTTGTGGTATGTTTAATTACCATTCAAAATTAATAACCTATCATTATTTCAAACAGGACGTCGATGATTTTCTTGTGCTAGATACCGGTGAAGAAGATCTCGATAGTAAGAAGGAAGAAGTAACTCAGCAAATTGCTAAAAACGAAAAACCAGTCGATAAAAAGTTGCAATTGGTAAGTTGATAATTGTTGTATCTTCTAACCGTATGCTCCAGCTACTCTCAAAAGCAGTTTGTAAGCCAGATATCGAAATGACCGAAAGAAATGAGAAGAGGATAGGATTGAGAGCAATGAAAAAACAGAGGAAGGTTAGCCGAACACCGTTGTTACAGTTTTTTCAATTTTACCAATTTTTTTTAGCTAGAAATGGAGAAAACTGCGGGAAAGAAATGGTTTGATATGCCCGCTACAGAAGTAACGGACGAAGTCCGTATGGATTTAGAACTACTCCGAATGAGAAGCGCTATAGACCCTCTTGCTTTTTATAGAAAAGAGAAGGATGAGAAACTTCCAAAGTATTTTCAAGTTCGTGAAATCGGTGAAAGTTTATAATATTGCTCTATTACAGTTTGGACGCATAGTGGATGCTCCGGAAGATTATTATAGCGGAAGGTTGACGAAAGCTCAAAGAAAACGAAATATGCTCGATGAGTTGTTGCATAATAATGAATTCTTGGAAAAGAAAACTGAAGTGTACGTTATTTTATCAGCTCTTTCACCCTTTTATTCAATTTTTAGATACAATACGCTCCAATCTAATGAGCGTAACAAAGTTAAAGGAGTCACTATGGCTAAAAAGTTCAAGAGGAAAATTAACTTTGAAAAGAATAAGAAGGCGAAGAAGTAGGCTTTTCCTAATGTTGTTATTAATCCTGTTTTTGTTTTTTCCTTGAATTGTTTGAAATACATTGATGAAATATTCCCTTGTTTCATAAAATGTTAGCTTTTTATCGTCATTCGTTATTTGATGAACACGAGATAGGTTCTCTGAATCTGTTTAATATGAATGCAATCGTTCTGTACGGTTTGAGATAGAATGCAACCGTTCTGTACGGTTTGAGCTGAGCCTACCAGCTTATACCACAACTGAGGCGAGTTGGAAGTTAAGTTTGACGGTTTATAAATCACGTGCCACGTGCCGCAGCGTAAAAAAATTTTTACTTGAAAAAATCGACCTGGTTGTTTTTTTTTCAGGAGAAAAAATGTAATTCATAATTTGGTGTGTTTTGTATGGATACTATTCAAGTTTCTGTTGTGAAATGTTGGTTTTAAATCTTGCTTTCGATGGGAGTTTATCTTAATTCTCGTCCATGTCGAAAATCCGACCGTGAAAGAGAAATAAGGTTGTCTACCACTCGCTATTCTGAGAAAAGTCAATCTTCATTTCTTATATGGCAAAAAAAGAGAAACGATGAACTTTTTTGATTTTGTGGATGCTCTACTCACATAAATGAGAGCTCATTTCCTTCAATGGCACTTTGGTAGAATATATTTAGAGCATGTCGATAGCCATTATATCGACGAAATGAGCTCTTCCATTCATTCGCTTATTATATTTGCTCCATCGAGTTGGAAAGGCACTTTTGAATTTCTTGACTTTATTTCATAAGTGTGTATCACAGTGGACAGTCAGGATTCTCATTATTATCACGAGCAAAAAGTTATGTGAAGAAGATTGGATGTGTCTGAGACTAGAGTTTGCGATGGAAGAACAGTATTTTTTATAATTTTTCAAAACCTTGTATGTAAACGAAAGTGAATTTTCCTCATCCGAAATGAACACAATGTTCTGCGTTTATACCATGAATTCAAGAGAAGCAAAGACAATGCATTTGGCAAGGTTTTCACAAAAATTTTGAAGTTATTTGTTTTTCAATAGAACTAACAATAAATTTCGAACTTTCTCCTCTGGAGGAATGTCTCAATATCAAGTGAGCTAGGCTTTTCTACTGGCGTCCATGTTGTATTTTTCAATAATTTTCATGCCAGAGACTGCTGATCACAATTGGTGATTCAGATGGTTGCTTTTCGAGAATATTTTTTCAATTTATACAGTGTCACAGAAAGATTTCATTTGATCTTAATAGGGATATAAAACAGGCTCTTCAAATAGTTCTTCTTCTTCCGGTTGACGCTTTGCCCATTTTCCGAACAGCTGAGGTCTAGCTCCTCCTTCGTGGAATGAAGAAAGTCGAGGGAAGTTTCCCTGAATCTGTGAACCAAACTTAGACATTGAGGTAGATATAATTTTACCTGGCGGACCCGCACGGATGAACGCCAAGTTGGCATATCTCGCGACAATTGAACTTGCTAAAGTTTTTTTTTTTTAATTTCTATCCGAATGGAAGTAACCTTAACAACACGTGCTTCATATACTGAAGCCATAAGTAAGATAAGAACCAATGAAAACATCAGGGAACAGTTGTAAGGCATCCTAGAACTTATAATATATTGAAAGTATGGAAGATAACAACTTAGTTGTGAAGAAAGTTTCACATGAGTAATGACTTAGAGCTTATATGAAATGCTTGGTCAGTTACACACCCACTTCTTATCTCCTCCCTTTTTTCTCACTATTAGAGTTTCTGCTTCTCAGTTTCTCTGTATCTCTTCTCTCTCTCATAGTCTCTTTCGCCTAACCACAAATATCTGAGAGGATATTACGCTTCAGTTCTACTTCTATCATAAAACGGTTTGATAAAACACTGATGATTTGAATAATATAAGTTCGAACATATGAATATATTTATATATATATATGTATCAATTACTTCGTCAAGTTGAATGAAGATGCAAAAAATCTCTGTAATTACTGTTAACCATATCTTATATCTCATAACGAGTAACATTTTTTAAGTTTCACCAATGAGAATCTCATGAAAGCTTCAGAAACTTCATTGAATTTTGAAATGTTACTTGAACGGTTGTTCATCAATCGGTCAAAAATTAGGGAAGTAATGTATTTTAATGTTGAGAGAATTCCTCAAGCGTTTTCAGTGAGACGAATTGAAGCAGAATGAAACCTTTTGTGAATGACGATGTATTAGTTAAACCACGAATAAGAGTTCAGAGTAGTATCATATAAATAATCCTAAGCTTCTAATCGTTGAACATCTATACACTTATAAAAAAGTCAGCAAAGTGTGCTATAAGGTATTATTGAGAATAAGAAAGACTAGTTGATATGGAAATAAATTTACGTGTGAAGAGATGAGTTTTTGAAATTTTGCATAGTAAATGCATTTATTGGCAAGACGAAAAAGAGAAAAATCAACGTTTAGACGGGAAGTTGGGAAAGAGAAAGGCTAACAAACGTTTATAATGTAAGCCGGGAAAAATTAAAAGTTTGTAAATGAAAGAGAGCTTTAGAAAGTAAAAAAATTTCATCAATAATTTTCCTCAACTGGGTGTTAACATTTTGTATTGTTCTAGAGGGGAACCCTTTTTCATTCACTGAACACTGCTCCTCAACTGTTTTGATTCAGATAGCTAATTGTATTTCTTACAAAAAAAAAAGAAAAAGAGTTTCACTGTGAAAATAAAAAAGAAATCAGGTAAGAAGAAGTATAAGTTGTAAATAATGGTTAATATAGTTAGAGAAAACATATTTTTTTCATTTCAAAACAGCTGCGGTTGTTCACTTTTCTTACTAGAACGAAACGAACTCAACTAGAACACGTAAGAAAAATAATACTTTGGATTGTAAAGGAATTTGCGATAATTTGCACGAGAAGTTTTTCTGAACGAAATTAAGTCATTTTCATTCAAACAAATTTAAGAAAATGGTAAGTAAATGACTTTTGACTGCTTGAAAGAACATAAATTAACCAAAAGAGAAAGGAACTAATGTTTGATTTCGCAAACATACTTTGTTTAAAATACAGATGCTGAAGTTGACAACATAAAACTTTTTAAGATCATTGACATAAAAAAAAAGAATATATGTATATACATACATATATAGCTATGCAGAAATGAAAAATATAAAACTATTAGGTTGTTTGATTATTTATTGTTGAGATACATTATTTAGCTCAAAAAAGTAATATTTTATAGAAATATCATAGTTAACTATAGTGTTGGGCGGTAACGAAGTAGCCGAAAGAAACGCATTTTTCAATAGAGAAGATCCTTTAACTAATAGACTTGGTGTTGCTCTTTTTTAATTTAAAAAAAAGCTTAATGAACATATGATGGAAATAATTAAATATTCATGAGTACTACGAATAAAAAAACATTAATTTATGCCATTATTACTATATTTGGCCGTAAAACAACAATAATATGTATTACAAATCATCTGATCTTTTGCGTGAATTATTCAGCGGTATTCGTTCTTCTATTAGCTTTGAAGAGTATTTGTTATCAGGTGTATGAATTCCGATGAAAATGTAATATATCCAGGCAGCTAGAGGTCCTCCTATTAAAGGACCAACTATAGGAATCCACCAGTAGAAATTGTAAGCGCTAAGTATATAATGTTTTGTTTTTTGTACTCTTCATACCTGAACACGTCCATTCCATAAATGAAGAATGAGAACAAACGTGGTCCAAAGTCTCTCGCAGGGTTAATGGGGCCTCCAAGATTCAGAGAAAGAGAAGTACCTATTGAAGAGCATACTCTATAGTTGAAGAATAACATTTAAATATATACCAATCATAACCACGACTAGCCCCACTAAAAGGGGCTGTAGGCCAAAGCTTATTTTGTTTCTTTTGTCAGTTATCACGCAAATAAAAAAAATTAGAACTCCAGCGCCGAACATCTACAAAACTAATACACATACTAAAGGTATCAGAACACACCTGATCCAGTAAAGCAGCGCAATGACTCAAATAAGCAGGAGGGTATGAAGTAAAACAAGCTGCAGTTCCTTTAGGACCTGTGAATGCTCTATGGGGTCCTGAGAAGTGCTCAAACTGTTCTTTAATGCTTAAACACTCAACTTTATACAATAGCAAATAACAAACCGAAGTAGACCATATATGCTAGGGCAGCTCCAATCATTGCACCCAGAACTTGAGCGATAGAATATAGAATGAACGTCTTTAATTACTTGTTTTATTTTATGTTTTGCGATGTGAAAAGGATAAGTTTAATAGCTACCGAGAACTTGAGTTGGCCTATGGAGAACATAGCGAGAGAAACCGCTGGGTTCAGATGTCCGCCGGAGGTATTGCTACAGAGATAAACTGAGAACGCCACTGCTAATCCCCATCCCATATTCACCTGTAAACAAATGAGAGTGCGAATATCTGCGGTGGGAATTCAGGATTGCCCACGAGTGATGTCTCTTATAAACAAGCGTTTGGCTACCATTTATCTCACCTGGACAATGGATGTGAACATAGGGTTTGTTAGAACAAACTGAATCATAACGCATATACCAATGAACTGAATCATAGAATAAAAATCATGGAAAAATGCAACAGGAACTCAACATTCAAAGTTATGCTTCCAATAAACTCAGCGATAATATTCCGAATCAAGGCGTTTTGAATTTGAAAAAAATCGCGCAAACGTTCCATCAACAAAGACATGATGAGACAGCACAAAATCTAAAGATTGGATGAGTTCTAAGACAATCTTAATGTTCGAATCAATGCTTTTACAGAATACTTGATGAGAATAGCTCAAAACTAAAGCTTCCTAGGCAAAATTCGTTCCAACTGACTTTCAGTTATAAATGTACAATTTAGAGGAAATCCGATCCTCTGTTTGTTTAAGCTCTCGTATTTGTCAGAAATTTAAAAAATTTAATTATAAAATGATAAAATAAATACTAAAACAACGTTTCAAGATTTATTGAATATCGAACAAAGCTGTAAGCTCTTAAAAGAGAAGAAACACTTAGTTCGTTTAGGGTTCCGCTTGCAAAAGTTTCTTAGATTCGTTAGATGGTTCATCTTTTTGATCTTCGTTTATATCAGGGTTGTGAATTCCAATGGTCAAGTTGTAGAACCAGCCTCCAAGTAGTCCTCCAACTAAAGGCCCAAATATGGGAGCCAAGAAATAAGTTGAAGTGGGCACTCTGCAACATGGTTTGGTATGCTAAGGTGTATTTTGCTTGTAAGAAACCGAAACACGTCCATTCCATAGATGAAAGCTGAGAAAAGACGAGGTCCCAAATCTCTGGCAGGATTGATAGGATACCCTAGGAAATAACCAAAACCGGTTCCTATCATCAAAACTAATGCGGCAAAGATGGGGCTGTAGAACTTCTGGAAAATCATTTCTGAGTTGATAAAAAGTACATTGAAAAAATCACGTTCATTCGAGTTGTGATAAAAATTTATCAAACCTTTGGTATTTCATTACGCTCATCGAGAACAACACATACAAAATAACAGAGAAGTCCAGTTCCAATAATCTGAAATAGTATTCTTATCAATCATAATTTACTTATGCCTGATATTTGCTGCTTCTTCTCCAAATTACCTGATCGACAAAAGCTGTTGTAAAAGAGTTGGCGATAATAGCATTTGGATAAGATGAAAAGCAGGCAGCTGATCCAGTAGATCCGAGAACAGCCCGAACTCCTCCGTCAAAAGCATCGAATAAAGCTTCACAATTAAATTCTTAGTTACAATCTCTGCTTGTAAACCACTCACGATAGTAATAAAAGTACATGCAAGCCGAACCGAAGAAAGCTCCTGCCAATTGAGCTAATGAATATAATAAGAACCATGTGAATGGAATATGTCCCATAGACCATAACAGAATCGACACGGCCGGATTCAGATGACCACCTGTTCAACTTCGTGTTTATATTTCTATAACTTCATGAAATACCTGACAATCGTTGTGTCGCTAAAACACAGAGCATGATATTAAATGCCCATCCCAGATTAACGCCAATATACTGAGTTGTTTTCTCACGTCCTAGATGATATTGAGCTACGATAGATGTTCCAATGAACTGTAGTGTTCTTATTGTTTTGGTGAGCACAAACTATATCATTTTTACCAAAAGCATAAAAGTTCCGAAGAACTCGGCTATAAGATTGCGATAAAGTTTATTCTTAGTTGCATATTGACGAAGTCTCTCATGTAAGGGAGCCATAATCTGAATAACTGAAATCAAAAAGTGCTTGCTGCACACCTGCAGAATGAATATTGGTTGCATAAATCTAATGAGAGTATTAGTAAAATTTAATGATAGCCATTAATATATGAGTGCACCCGGTCGATAAGAATTGTTTTATTTCGATTTGGTTGATTAATTGCAAAAAAAGGAGAAGCAAACAAAACGCATTATGAAAGATTGTTCATGGAAATTTCAGAGAATTTGAAGTAAAAATTCTTTGTGAAAGTTATCTAAACTCAACACCACCTCAAAAATTATTTTAATAGAAGGTCATATCATTTCTTGAAAAAGAATAAGATTGCGCTACGACTGAGACGTGTTAGGCATGATGAGAGAGAAAAATATAGATAGAGATAAGAGAAGAGTGGGAAGGAAGAACTCCAGATAGCATGTTCAATGAAGAGGAAATTGGAGATAGGAAGGCAAGTTAGTGTTATAGAGAGAACCAGAATAAGAGAGAGAGCAGTCAGAACATGGCCGCTCTTTGAGGCGACTTAGGTCTAAAACAAATTCAAAGAACATTTGATCTGATGAGACTTTTCACGTGAAAACTAGAATATGATGTATGATATTGTTAGTTAAGAGATGAAAGAAAGTTCGAATGACGCTTCTAACCTTGCAAATATTTTGTATAGTTTTCAATAAATAAAGCTGTGCATTATCAAATAGACGAACATTTTAAACTTTTATCAGTACTTGTAAGTCAGATTAAGAGATTAAACGTCTTTACTGCTTGAAAGAATGTAATGAAGTGTTAAACAGAAGAAGAGAAGATGAAGCGAATTTGTCGAATATTTCACTTCTATAAGTTGAACATTTTCAGATAAAATTTCAGACATAGAGTATTAACAAAAATTATCATAATTATGCACAAAGTATGAACGTTTACAAATGTGTATAACTGTATTAAAGTTAATTTGACTAGCTGCTTTTCTGGAAGACTAGATAGGTTTTCTTTCGAATGGCTAAAAGTACTGAGTAGATTTTAGTGGGAACCGATAAAGTAAAAGAGACAAAAAAAATCCTTTCTTTGTGAACTTCAAAATAACGACAATGTGAGAGGAATCTTCACTGGCGAAGGATATGAAGAAGAAACAGCATCCGAACATGTCTAAAAGGCTTCTTTTAAACTTGTGCCAACTGGTCAGAGATTGACGAGAGCAGAGCCTACGTGCAGTTGAGAAACATTGGGATATCGAAAGGGCGGAGTTTTCACATCAGCCTCAATTTAGGCTAGAAAACGAATCGAATTTCTACATACCGATTAGTAAAGATTTTTGAATAGTCTAACTCATATGCTTCTAAAAAATAGTTCATATGTAACGATTTTTGAAATCAAACTTATAAAAGAAGAAGCTCAATAGTTGAATAGCCAAGTTATTTTATGTTATTATAGTTTAAATAATAAAAAGTCAAATAAAGATTTTGAGAAATATCAAACAGATTACCGAAGTTGCGATGTAATGTGCTGCTATTAAACAAATAATCTTTTCAAACGGAAACCAATTATTTTCTCTTTAACAATGAAAACCCGAAAGAAAAGTTCGAATTAAGGTTATTCATAACTGCTTTTGAGAGAAATCATAATAATTATGGAAGAACTAGTAAAATACTCAGATAATAATGAGATATTATATGCAAATTCAATTAAAGAAGCTATTGGAAATCAATTGATTCAATACTAAGTGCTCGAACGGCATATTGTGTTTTCCCACGAGGCCAAAAGATTTAACTTTTCTAGATCATAGTCGATAGACGAGTTCTAATAAAAAATCATTAGCATCCTGTTGTTCACTCATAACTCCAATCCTACTTCTGATACGTTGCAATTGAATTAAAGCAAGGGTTTCATTGCCGATTGCAAAAACATCTGATCAGATACTTTGGCCTTGATTTTCAGTCACAAAAGTAAAGGTTAGAATTCTCTATTCTCTGGTAAGTTTCACCTTAATATAGCTAACTATCCGTTTCAGTAACTCACTACCTGTGAATACGAAAGCCAGTTATACCTTTTATATCTATTTTTATGTGTAACTCAATTTATTTTTCTACCTTCCTGCCTAGTTTTGAGAAAATAGAAAAATGTAGTTCATGATTCAACGGGATACGTATCAAAATACATGAATTTATATTATATATACATGATTTTAATGGAAACCAACGTCTCTTTTAATATTTTTTCCAGAAATTTTTTTTTAATCAGTTCTTGTAGCTTCTTTCGGTTTTTTAATTTCCGTAATCAATCTGTTTCAAACAACAGTCTCAGACAAAATGAAAGTTTTTCACGTGATCAATCCGTTTCCTGGTTATAGCTCTGCTCTTTCTCATTGTTATGAAGACGATCCAGAAAAAGTAAGTTGTATTAGAAGAAAAAAACAGTTTTCTTCTTCAAAAGGATAAAATTAGAGAAAATTAGAAAGAGAGACAAGAGGTAGAGAGTCAGACAAACAGAGAGACAGAGGGAGACAGAGACAGAGAGAGATGTTAAAAAAAGACTTTTTCCAACTTATCAAATTCTTCTCTCTTTCTCCTTTATCCCTTCGTTTTCTTATACTTCCTTTCAACCGTAGTTTATAACTTGCCTTGAAAAAGTAGTTTATTGCTGGTTCGCCTATCTAATGCCCCACTTGTTCGTTTTTTTCATTTTTTTTACTAGGATTGTAGATAAGTTTCTCCATTTCTCCTCAAGCATTTTTTCTATTTTTTTTGGTGATGATAATTTTTCTAAACCCCTTTTGCTCTTGTAGGTTCAACCCGAGATGGATCCGAAGCCTGATTCTGGATCGATAAAGTAGGTTTTCTTTCAAACATAACTAGTTCCTGTAAAATGAAAAAAACTTTTTTCAAGAACAGTCTCTCTGGGATCAGAATCACCAAACTCTATCCGAGACTACCATCGCGGAAGTGGGAATTTGACAGGAGGAGGGGTTCAAAGTGTCTATACACGAAACTCACCTGTTCGTTTATTCTGAACTTATAATTTTTTTTCTTCGCTGAACTCATCAAAGAAAGATGCTTCTGTTTTTGCCAAAAATCTCTTCTCCTATCTTCTCTCAAACTTTCATTTCAACTTTCAGTCATATAGTTTCAGTTTCGGTTTTTTTGTCTTCTGCTCTTACACTTTTCATTATATTGAGCTTCGAAATTCAAACCAAAGATATAGCTGGAAATACTAATTGGAAGATAACTGCTAGCATGAACTGAAGCACGATTTTTAATAATTCAATTTAATTATATTCATACATTTACTCATTCTGAATAGAATCTTGATTAGATAAGTATCTGAAAAATTATCAAGGTACTGCATACTTTGATATAGATAAACAGAATTTGTTATATCTAGTTTGTTTATTCTCTACGTTTTCTGGCTTTAACTACTTCAGAATATTGTACAACGTACTTAACGTTTCTTATATTATTGATCAGGAAATAGTTCACGTTTTACACGTGAAGTGAAACTATCTTGTTCATTTCATTAACTTTTACACGCATTGAGCGGTTTGTCTGTTTCGTTTGCGTTCATCATAACTCAATGTCATTAGCCAAAAGTAGCGATAAACAAGTTTTGATGTAATTTTGATTTAAAAAAATCAACCGAAAGGTTTATTTTGAGTTAGGCATTTGAAAAGCTTTGCATTTATCGATTATTTGATAGGATAGAAACAAGAAAACAAGTTTCTTGAAGTTATGTTACAACTTTAATCAACTGTTTTATTGAAGAATGTTTTTTTCAACATTTCCTTTTCTTTCATTCTTCATTCTCGTTAACGTATACTCCAGTTCATTTTGATACATCTTCAGTTGCGCTGAATTATTTTCTGGGAGAAGAAGTCTTTTTTTTGATCCAAATGAGTCCACGTGATACGCCGGTGAGATATAGAAAAATCATCTACATCAGCAGATTAAACTTGACTCTTTTAACATTTTTCACAAAATCATAGTAATTTCAGAGCATTAAGAAGTACAAGTCGAAGCTTGATGCCCGTTTAGGTCTGTGCATTTTTGTATGTCTCTTCATAATTGGTTCTATTCTGAGTATTTATGGTGTTATACATAAAGGAGTTCATTCACATTTAACGTCTTACGTGAATAGAACGCATCAGATAGCAAAAGTAATCAAATAAATGTGAAATGTTATTCTCTATTCGTCCGCAGGAACTAAAGAACGCTATGGACGAAAATTATGCTAAAGAAAACTTAACTGGTATGGATTCTAACGGGCGAAAATGGATGACCGTGGATGAGCTAGAAAATGATGCCTACCTTTTACAGAGAGTACTTTTTTTTTTTGTCGCAAATCATTAGTTTATTAAGACTAATGACACTATTTGGACTCTGTTCATGTGGAATATCATAATGTGTTTGATTCTCAGTCCGATCTTGGTGATTGTACATTGTAATTGGGCCGAGGGAAATCTGGTCAAGCTCATTTACCGAGTAAGTGACAAACACAAAAAAATATAACGTCATAACTGTGTTGAGGTTGTATGTTTGGTTTGTCTTATTTTTTGTATTGCTCAATTTCTTTATCTCATCCATCCATTACTTTGGGGAGCTGTTGCATTTCCACAGGCATGATTTTCACAGTTCCAGAAAAATTCAATAATGTTTTATAGATGGTTGATCGCTTGTTCCTAGAAGCTTATCCTAGAGATGAATATCAGATAAATGACATTCAAGATACTTTTGCATGTGAATTTCATCCTCACGAGACCCTACTGCAGTTCGATTTGCAGGTGAGAAAAACTGTTTTATCCTCTCTTGTTAGTTTTTTTTTAAGCAAGCATGCATTCCAAAACTCAAGAATTCACTTTTCCCATCTTATACAGTCGTCTTACTTCTCTTCCTTGATGTATTCCCGTTTGTATTTGCTGTTTTAACTTATGCCTGGTCGGCTTGCATAAAAGACAGTAAACTAATGCGCACAGCTAGACAACGTGTTGAGCTCAACAATTCCAGAAGGTGGGTCATTCAGTTACCTTCAAATCTGAGGGATTTCTTCCAGAGTTCCTTTTCCCAAATCGAATATATACGTCTCACCGTCGGAGAAAAGCACAAAGTTGGTAGACCTTGAACTTTAAGGTTATATTCTTGCTAATTCTTGTCATTAACGTCTCTATGTTTTTTTGCAATGAATATAATAAAAATCTTCTAGTCTGAGAGAATGATGAGAAATAACAAGGGCTAAATACAGTTGCTCACTCGCACTTTCTCAAACCTCTTCTCAACATAGAATGAACAATCCTTCCAGACCGACGACGACAGTCGAACAGCTACCTGGTAATCTCGTCTAGCCTGATTCTGTTTTTACTTCAACAGTATGAAATTTCTCAAGTAAATAATTCATTCTTATGTATTTTTTGAAACTTAATTGGCGTGGTAGAGCAGCAAACAGAAACAAAGATTTCCTATTCGCGTACTTCAATAAATACAATTGAGCCGTGACACCGCTTCAAGGCAGCAGATTGAATAAATATGAATATGATAAATATGAATGTTCATTATAAAAATAGCTCAACTGCAAAAAAAACTCATCACAGTTCAAGAAACGAAGACGTTCGCTTTCGCTCAAGCGATATATAACTTCAGCAAATCTTTTTTTTGCGTTACTTGGACGTACTCCCTGCTTTCTTGCTCGGGAGGAGTAAAATGAAAGAAACATTGAATCTGGAATTAGAACCTGAGCCAGTGAATTTATCAACAGTTCTCTCGCACTGGCTGGTTCAGAAAGACTGAGCGGCCTGGCCAAAGTTATTGAAGGATCGTTATTTTGATTAAGATATGCTCATGGAGAGTTTTCGTTTTTGCGATGAAAAGGAAAGAAAATCATTTCATACATGAATGAGATTCATACGAGAAGACTTCTGGCAGGAATACGTTTTAACTCTATTTGACCAAGAATCCTTTATCAGACACGTTTAGAACGTCTACTTCAGCAAAGTCTCAATATAGAATGATTTAAGGCAGAAAATCCTATTTCGTCATTGAATTTCATCATTTACAGGGGGCTCCTACGGCTTGGCTAATACGCTTGAATGATGAACTTTGGCACGAGGGAGATAGCCCACGACGCATGCGGCCTTCAACTTCCTCGATATACTAAAAAAACAAGCGTAATATCATTTTAATATTTTTGCACCTTTTTCGTTTCAGAGTTCAAGTAAGCTGGTGTGTTATTTTGGGATCGTTGACCTCTGCAAATGAATAGATTTTCAAACTCAGAGTTTCTTAACTTTTTTCAAAATCAATTTAATGAACATGGCATCAACCTTAAAACCCAAACTCAACACTAGTTATAACTCACTCTAAGGCACGGCCGGTTTGCATGGTGTACTGCTCCGCAACTGCATCTGATGAGTACAGGTTCATTGGTGAGTTGTACTGTAAGTGTTCAATCGAAGAGTTGGGAGACAAATCCCGGCCAGTTCTCGATGATGGTGAGTGGAAACGCACACGAGATCCACCTAAAAGTATACTTCAAAAATTCTACCGAGCTAATGAAAAATAGATCAACCAACCTGGAGATAAACTACTTTGACTTCTACTGCCACAGCGAAAACCGTTGCTCGATGGGAAAGAAGTTTGTATTGTTGTTTGTTGATTCAAGGGTAATGGTGATGACTTGGTCGTGATACCAGGAGCAGGTGGGTCGTAACTAAAAATAAAAAATAGAAAATGTAAGTCAAAACATATTGTTCAGAAAACACATGTTGAATACAACCTTTGGTTCTTAGCTTCAGCGAAATTATTCCTGGGATATGAATTCTTATCGAACGTATTATCAGTAAATTTCACCGAATTACGGTTCGAACTCGTAGAAGAGACAAGTGCTTGGTTTCGATTGTTTGGAGAATTATGGAGAGTACTATTGGGTGTAAACGTTGTGCCAGTGGTATAGTTCGATAAGTTGTAGCGACTACTTAAAGGCGCTGAGCTCTGAAACAAATTTAAGAAAATGATCAACTCTGAGTTCATGCCTGCTTTAACTCTGCCTGGCTGTACTGGTTCTGATTACAAGTATTGTGAACACTTGGGAAACCAGCTGATGAGAAGTTATTGCAGCTACTATTATTGAGAGTAGCAGATGAACTGTAAAACAAAATTCCTTGGATCGAGGGGACTTGGAAAAAAACTATTAACAAAACTTTATCGCAAAGTTGCATCCCAAGATATTGTTTAAACAAACTACGTACAGAAAAACGAGAAGCTTCTTTTCATCAAATCAATACCTGTATTTCTGGTTAGAAGAATAATTGGACGTAGTTTTGGATGATCCAGTAGGTAATCCTTGTTGTGTCAAATTGTAGCTGTTATGGATGTAGCCGAAATTTGGTTGTATTTCGTCTACAACAAGCTTGTTATCTTTTTCGGACAGAGTCCATGGCAAACATGAATGTGATGTTACATACCTGAAAGAAAATGGTTAGAAAAACACCTTTAGCTAAACTGCGAACCGTTGCAACGTAAAGCAAACTTCATAACAAGCTTGAGTGACGATATCATTTGCTTCCTGAAGACTCAGAGAAAGAGTTTGTCGTCCACCAATAGATTCCACTAAATCACCGTTTCTCAACCCTGCTTTTTCAGAAAGGGATCCTGGCTCAACCTAAAACATAGTTTAGAAAAGAAGTTATAAATATAACGAACAGTTTTGATGATAATTTTGTTTCCGGACGACGACAGAATGAAACCCCATCTGATAGAGCTATCGCTACGATTCATACGAACCGAAACAGTTTCATACGACATTCTGAACGAAAGCAGTATTTTGGATCACAGACGTTTCTAATGGAAGTTCGCGAAGATATAACGAAAAAAATCATTTGAACTCAAAATTTACTTCACTTAACAATAACAGTTAACAAAACAAACACTATTTATAAAGCCCTAACATCCAGTAGAAGAGGAAGGGATCAAATTAGAGAATGCCGAGGAGGTGGTGCTAGTGGAGTTGGTAGTGAATTACATGACTGCCTTGGTCTGCCAAATGCTCATCCATCAGCAACTGATTTCTTCAGTCGATTTGAGACAACTGATAATACAACACCAGGAGACAATAGCACACAATGAGTTACTAGAGCAATTTAGGCAACATATCGAAAAAAGTAGGATACTCTAGATCATTAACGATAAAATGAATAATATCGAAAAGCTCTGCATAACCTTTCTACCAGTGGTATCAGTAAAAAACACATGCGGTTGGTGAAGCAATGTAATGTGGTTCATTTTCATTCCGCGTTTCGAGATTAGTTACAGTTAACATGTGCGTCACAAGTGAATAAAAACTTCCAGATGCTTGCTGTTCAGAGCAGAGAGAGAGAGAGAGAGAGAGAAAGAGAGAGAGAGAGAGAGAGAGAGAGAGAGAGAGAG